GAAGATGCGCGCCTGTAGAGGGAGGCTCCATGTGTACGAGGCCGTCCAGCTGGCGTGGGTCGTAGCGGATTCCCTTCGCCGAAATTATCCGGCCGCACCAACGAATCTCCGTTGAGAAGAGCACACACTTCCCTGGGTGGAGCTTAATGTTAAATTCGCGGCAGAGAGTCAATAGATCACGTACCGTTTCAAATGGACCGCCAATGGTCCGATGATGGACCAAGAGGTCATCTAACCAGGAGATGATAAACTCGCCGAGAGTGAGAGGCATGATCTTCGCGAAGGCGGCCTGTAAGTGGGAAGTTGCATTGGTAGTTCCGTGTAAAACCCGGGTCGGAGAGAATATCCCATCTGGAGTGATGAAAGACTGGAGGGCTTGTGCTTCCTTGTCGAGCGCGAGCTGCCAGTAGCCATTTGAGAGATCGAACGTAGCAAAGTACTTGGAGGCGGAGAGCTTTGTGAGCTCGTGCTCCAAATTAGGCATCGGGTATTGATGCTTCACTGTGAAAGCATTAACAGGTCGTAAGTCCACGGTGAACCAGAAGGGAGCCGGGCCGGGTTTAGGGACTAATAACGGTGCGCAAGCCCACGACGAGGTTGGGTTTGAGTAGGCCATGCCGTGGTGAACCAGTTTTTGCACGAAATCCGCTAGAAACGCGCGTTGCTCTTGGGAATAGTTTCGAAGGCGTACTATGACAGGACGTGCAGTACTTACCAGGTCAATTCGGAGAGGCGCAATTCTAGCTGCGGGACCAGCAGAGAACGAACTTCGAATACGTCAAGGTCGGCATGGACGATGCTTTTCAACTCTTTCTTATTCTTATCGGGCAATCCGTTGTCAGATGCAGCGGTGAGCATGGAGCCCACTGCCTCCCGAATGTCCGCGTGTTGCGGCAAATCGACAGAGTCGAGCAACGACGGGTCCGGAAATGGGTCATGCTCATTGCGTGCAGTGTTGAAATTGACGCGGGGTCGGCTAGGGTCGAGGACTCGGGCAGCAGCTGAGAACTTCTCAGCTTCAAGCTATCATCTTGGACACGGTTCAAACGGGCCAACATAATTCTGCTGACGATTCCACCTCGAGGGTTGCTGGTAGGGTTACCGATGTGCGAACAGTCTGTGTTGTCGAGAGTAGCCCGGTTGTCCTCTAGCAGTGTCTTGGAATCGACCTGTAGATGATCCAACACTGGTAGGCCTATGAGGATGTCCTCACAGGCAAGTTCATCATCTGCAATCAAGAATGTGACATTGATCAAGGCGAGCTGGCCTGAGGACAAGTGCAGAATTGCCCGAGGCGAGGTCCAAGAGCGAGAGAAGGTGACCGTCTGTTTTCCTTCCTTGTAATCCGTTGCCTTCTTCAGCGCGACTTCTAATGTCACAGTTTCGATCGCAGCAATCTTACCAATTCCTTTCAGTGCAGCCTTCTCCACAATACGGGGAGAGATGATGGTATCGTCACTGCCATCATCGCAGCGTCCAATACAGCGCAAAGTGGCCTGGCCGTCGGACAAGGTTACGTCGCAAGATGGCTTACGCGGGTCTACAGTACGTCCATCGTCCTTGGTCGAGAGGCGTCCGGTGTGGCCGGAAGGTATACCAGAAGCAGGGTTTTTCTTCGGACCGCGGGTCGACTTCAAGGGACCATCAAGAGCTTTAATTGTCCGCAGTTCGTCAAAGAGTTTCTGTTTCTCCACCGCAGTGGAACTTCGGCAATCCTTGATGAGATCTTTGAGCCCTTTCTTCTTACACGGCTCATGAGGACAGTCTGGGGCTGTCTTACTGCCTTTGCGCTTTTCTTTTCCGTTTTCAGGGGTAGGCGCAGTATGGGGGGTAGTCTTCTCTGTAGTTTCGCCGCTTGCACTGCCACCGCCGCTCCGACTGGTCTTCGGTTTCCGATTTTTCCGTGGACTATTGTCCACCAGTTTGAAGGCCTCAGATAACTTAACGGCATGCGCAAAAAAGCCTGTGAAGTCTTTCTTAAAGCACTTATGAGAAAACTCCAGATCGGTTTCAAGGCGGTCGCGCAGCTTGTACGGAGGTACAGATTCGAGGACATGATATACAGCGACCTTAGCATGGTCTTTCTTGACGGAAGAAAGGCCATTGCGCCGTAGAATCGTAGCGTAGGAGACAAATAGTCCTTGCATCCGGGAGGTGGGGTCTCGATCATGCATGTTCATGGACAGATCTCTCTCCACAATGTGATCAAGTACAGCGAGCGTAGTGGTCTGAGGAGAGTCTTTACACTTCCTCTCTAGGAATAGTCGCAGTTGATCATCGGTGAGCGAGTCGTAGTCTTCAACGCCAGGGATAATACATAAGTCGATGGAAGACTCCAGGTGGTCTTGGTCTGCACAGAACTTGAGGCTGAGAGGGCGGATGGGTTCCGTCGTGATGGACTCAACGTCGACATGTTGCTGGGCACGAGCTATGAGCTCAGTGCTGTACCAGTTGTACAGCCTTAGAAACACCCGTATGCTCTCAGCGTCCAGAGTGGAGCCGAGGCGTGGATGGTTGACCGAGGTAGTAACAAACGAAGAACCATGCGGCGTGCTTGTCTGCTGGTCCTGTGCGCCTTCTTCCCCGGGAGACGACATCGGGAACGTCGGGTTCGGTGCCGGGGGTTCGCTCGGGTTGATCGACCTGCTTAGAGCAAGTTCTGGCCAGTGATCACTGTGGTAACTTTCGCGGTGCGCTGACTCTTTGAAGGATCGATATGGTTTTACTTAGCGAGCAGAAAGGCTAATCCTTAAGTACTAGCTAGATTCGACGTGCTGTTGCCTACCGGGAACCGTTGCTATTGCGTGTCAGTACGTAGTGTGTTGCGTGTCAGCGTATCCGGTACAGTATCGCATTACCTGTCATTGGGGTGTCACTGAACTATTCTATTGCGTGTCGTCAGGTGTCACTGAACTATTCTATTGCGTGTCGTCAGGTGTCACTGAACTATTCTATTGCGTGTCGTCAGGTGTCACTGAACTATTGCTATTGCGTGTCACTGTACACGATAGGAATTACCCAAGTATTACCGAGTGGGCGCTTTCGGACTCAAGATGTAGCGGATTACACATCCTTTTAAAGAAGATAGGAAGTACGTTTTAGAAGGAAATGTCCAGTTTGTTTATACAAAGTAAAACACAGAAGATAGAAGATATCCATACTGTGTGAGTCCTTTCTACATTAAAACCAACGATACGAGGACAAAAGTGAACCAAGATGTTGCTTGTGAAAATATAAGCAGAAGCACACTTTGAAACTCACGTGCATAAAACATAATTCAGAACCTTTTCCAAACGTATTCAACCGGATTTACAGCAGAAAACTACGGTATTCTCCTATTGTTGTTTCAATCGTTTATGTGACCTGAAGCATTTGCTACTCTAAATGGGCATTTTTCTACCTCCACTTCTTTCTACGCTCTTTTGACGGACAGGAATAAACATCTTGTGTTCGGAAAGCAGAGGAAGGACACCCCGATGAAAATGTTAAATTAGGAGGATTTTCAGAAACAAACGTGAAACTAAAATGGTAACATCTGATAAATGAATGCAAGAGGATCTGAAACCAATCGCAATCTTTAATCCTTGCAGCAAAATGGTTGTGTAGGTGAGGCAAATTCCTTCTGAAAGATATAAGCAGACAGTACTGCCGTTCCGTTGGAGATGACTTTTGGACTTGCACGTAAGGTACAAGATGTAAGGGGCCACCACTGTGAGAAACGAGAGGATCGAGACAAGGAACAGTATTTCAGCTACAAATCAAAGATTCCATGATCGGGGCATGAGACCTTTGAACGAAGAATTTCGCAGTGAAGCAAGAAGTAGAACAATTCTGAAACTTGCTAATCACATAATATGCAGAGTTCTTCAGATCTTTGTTCTTCAGAGGACCGGGATATAAGGGACCATGCTTTCACCATTTCGAGATGTAGATCAGGAAACGAAAATGTTAGAGTAGTACTCCACGTCACCCTCAATTTGAACCATGGGACGATCGTGTAAACGTTTTTCTAGATATTCTGCGCTATTTGCAGCAGACTGAGGAGTCCAGAGGGATTGTAGAGGGTTAGAAAAATAAGCTGGCGGTTGAAAAGTGAACCTTGTCGCCGTCAGGGCAGCTGGCCACGCGGCCCGAACTACTGTAACATTCATCCTCTTGATCAGCATATGGGTGAGATGACTAGATACGTTCCGTTGGTTGTGCTCTGCTTTGGCGTTCTACGCCCATTCAGTTATACGTAGTAAATGGTTGCGATTGTCCTGGAGTGCGCTCTCGATGGAAACAAACTGAACAGTCCGAGCAAGAATTGTGTTTTTTTTCTTTTCTTTTGCTGTAACGTTACAGTATTTGACCTCGTCACTACAGTACGTCGCTACAGTACTGATACGCTCTGAAAGTGAGGAGAAATTGTTGCGGCAAGTTTTAACAAAACTCGTGCTCGTATTTCGGGTGCGTCTTGTTACCACCTGAATGCGATCAGCCGCAAACCACCTCAGCAACGGTGAAGTACATTCAGACGTCGTGTGCATCAGCCGATGTTTGAAGTCGTCGACTTCGGGCAACCTTTTCAAACCGCTTGGGTGTGACTCTCGGGCCTCGCAATGTATCACGACTTAGACGTGAACGTGCCGCGGAGCGCGAGAAAGAAGACATTGGAAACTCTTTCTCGCATGGGTTATGACGTGATCGCATTCTCAACAGTCATTGCCGATGCGACATCGATAAACAACGATTTGCTTCCGTCCAAGCAGCCCTCTGGCGAAGGAGTTCTTCCGAGGAGACAGGGACAAGTGCGTTACGGAGGAATTTTGTCTTGGCGCAGGCGGGTTGCCATCAGTGAGGTTGGAGGAATTTTGCTTATCTCACATTGGGAGTTTTTGTCGTTTTTATTGCACAGGTGCACCAGCTTTCACGTCCCACGTTACGGAAGAAGGGTGTCACGGTTCTAGAGCGTGTCACTCTGGTCATTTCAGACGCAAGTCAGGTAAGCTTATTCGTTAATGGGACGAAGTCGGGGCGCATTTGTTCTTGTCAGCCGAGTATACATTTTCCGTCTTGAACGTCTGTTTTGGGTTGTCTAACGCGCGCGCGGTTTAATTTTTTTGCGCCCTGCCAGCTTGTACTATTGAGTTCTTCCTCCCTGAATGAGTTTGATCTTGTTGCGGTGCGGCCAACGACCGAGAAGCTTTTTCAACAATGTCTGCAGTTTGATTTTGACATCATCAGTTTGGCTCTGGATCGTCGTCAGGTGTTCCAAGTGAAGCGGCCGCAAATACACGTTGCTGCAGAGAAGGTATGGCTCTGGCGCGTCTCTGCAACTCTGATACCCGAGACGAATGCATGGCAGGCTTTCTAACATTTTGTGATGGGATGGTATTCACTCAGGGCATCGTCTTTGAAATTGCGTACGCAGCAGGGTTGAGAGATGTGAACAGCAGACGGTTCTTGATTGCGAATGCTGGAGCAATCTGTCGCGCGACCAGAGGGAAGCATTTGATCATGTCCAGTGGAGCGAGGAGTGAAATGGTAAGGCGTCTTTTTCTCTTTCTTTAAGCAACGCGTTCGCTGCCGCTCCGATCCAAGTACAGAACACTAATGGCTTCATGTGAATTCCCTGGTGACCTTCCCAAAAATAGGAGCTCCGCGGCCCTCAAGATATAATCAACCTGGGGATTCTATTTGACATTCCCCAGGAACACTCGCACAATGCCGTGAAGAAAGTGGCTGGCGAAGCCGTAGCGCATGGAAACATCCGGTCGCAGACGTACAAGGGTATTGTACGCGTCGAAAAGTTGGAGAAAGAGGAGACGGGTGCGGAACAAGTGGAAGAAATGGAATTATGAGCGGTTGGCGTTCTGAAATGATGCGACAACATAGCGTGTCCATGCGACAAGGGAAGTCTGGACAAATGTCGGGAAGAGCGAAACGGCGGGCAGGGGGATGCGGAGAGTTGGGCGTCGGAGATTTTCGTTTTGCAAAGCGCTTGCTTGGAGGGAATCGCTTTCAACTCGGTGACGATTCCCGCACGAAGAACTGTCGTCACAACGGGGCGCCACAGGCAGGGCGGGGGGTGGGTACGGGTCGCAGCGGGGCGCAGTTCGGAGGCTGGCGTTGGGATGCGCGGGATGCGTGCCCCATCCGCAGAGCTTCCGGAGCACAAGAAGGCATGGGCTGCGTGCGTTTGAGGAGAAGGCGTCCGAAGCGTTGCTTTCGAGGCGAGGGGTATTGGTGATGCGTGGAGTGTCCTATTGGGCTGGGGTCAACACCATGGACAGTTCGTGGACGGTGATCTGATGACGGTGTTTTCGTATGAGCGAGTTGTTGGACAGCCATTGCTGGACAGAGCAT